AACACGAGAGATTTTGGTTTGTGGGATTTTTTTGTCTGACTTGCAGATTCTGCTGACTTTAGGCCTCTCGGCTTCTGCTGAGCAATAGGTCGCAACTGATTTGAAGAAATCACTTTTGCAGCTGATTTAATAAACTGTTTGTTACTGTTGGGTCCACCAGTGTCCTGCTTCACTGCAGGACTGCATGAGCCCCCAAACTGATGCTACATGGACTCAAATGGATAGAAAACACTGGATGTTGGTCTCTATGTGCATGATTGTAAACTAATCATGTGTCTTCAAGCAAGGTTTTGTGTCAGCCCACAGATTTACACTGATTTACAGGCTGTGTACATGTCTGTGAGTTTAACTATTGTTTAATAACCTCAGTGTTTCCCTTGTGAAACAGATTCATGGCAACTATCGACCCCTTCCCTTACCCCGACAAAATTTCTATCAGGTACCTGGATGAAATTTCTACCGACTGCACACTCTTTTTTGTTGTTGATTTTGTCTGTGTATGGGGGCTGGACAAAATAACAGGAACATGAGTAATGACATGTAACACAGTCATTTACCAAATATAATATCCTTATGAAGTATTTGCACATCGGATACTGTTATTTTGTCCTCCCCATTTATGGCCATTGTCGGCTGTGCGAGAATGAACGGAATGAACCAGTTAGGACTAGCTTAATTTGCCAGTTTAAGGGTTTTTCATTTGTTTTTTGGAAAAGCTAACATGACTGTTCAGAAAATATATATAGATGTACTTTCCCAAAACATTTACCTGATAATGCTAACATGCTACACACCTACTATGCTGCACCGGTTCATACAAACTGTCAAAGCATTGAAAACTATACATATATTCTTTACTATGTGATCAGATAGTTTATGATTTAAAAAGATCTGAAGTGATTTTCAGACATTTTAGTTATTTTGTACAGCTGCTCTTGTAGATGAAATTTTGAAGAAACATTTTTTATTTTATTTAGATATTCCTAAAAATGAACATTAAAAATATTGTTTTGATTTTGGCACAGAAGCCTCACCTCTTACCTTGGAATATGTGAACTAAGTGTCATGTTACTGCTTTTCCGGAAAAACAAACTCTAACCTGGAGGAAAGGCCGGACTGTGTTTTTGATGAAAGCATCAATCACAATAACATAATATGTGAGGCATGTGGTTTTAAGAGCTGCCTGTAGTGTTTGTGAACTGTTTGCGGTGTCTGTGATGGACAGTCTTTAGTCTGCACAGGAGGGTTGAGGAATGGAGTAACAACTGCTGTTTCACAGAAGACATAAAACTCACCAAGCGTTTGGGTGGGTCTCAGGTGATATTTCAGTTCTCAGGTGAGCACAGAGTTCAGGCTGGTTACATAACAACTCTCTGGTTTTAACTTCAGCTGTTCATCATAAATAAGTTGAGTAGTACTGAACTTTCTCCAAAATTTTTGAACGCAAGCAATTTCACTTTTTATTTCAGAGCGTAATCTGGGCTGTCGAATGGTAGTAGTTGTTGGTCATCTAGTTGTTACAAGTAGGTCATCTAGTTGTTACAAGTAAACGATATAAAAGGTAGGTTTGGTGAGTTTTTTCTGAAACATCCCGACACACATGGTGCTAGTTATCTATCAGTGACACCAACAAAAGCTGTAATGATTCAGAACATTGCAGAACAGAGAACAAGAGCATTCTGTTGATCTATTTCAATACATCACACAACCTATGACCTTGTAACATCAATACAACATAGATCGTACACTTGGATAAGAATGAGAGTGCATATTTATTCATTAATGTTGAATGAACAGCTATGCTAAGTGCTGTGATTCAAAGGATGAGCCATGTTTAAGATTACGATAGAAGGGCAAACGCTTATCTTTAGAATTTGCATGCGGCCTTCTCTGGGTCATCCTTTACTTTCTCAAAATCATTCCATTCTTTGGATATCCTGCCAGACTTTCCTACCTAATAATCTCAGCAACCACAGATATAATTGTCTTGCGACTACGCAACCAATCAAAAGCAGTTCGCCGAAGACATACATGCATACAAATATCTAAATGGATTATTCATGTTTTCAGGGAGCAGCCCTACTTTTTCGAGGCCTTTTTGTTTTCAGCACGAGTCCTCTTGTTAACACGCTGATGCATTGAGCTGTGTTCTCTCCTTCTTGTCTGTTATACCATGCATTGTTTTCCTTTAATGAATTTAAATGCGATAACCGGCCTGTTTGTTTGCCTGTTAGAAAGTATGTGGGTGATTCACTCTATGTGCTGCCTAACCTGTCATCTGTCACACAGCAGTGGTTGGGCTTGTGGTTCACTTGTGCAATGGTTTTGATGTCAGACTGAGCCTCGAGGGGAGAATTCTTTGTGTTTGATTTTGAGGCATGGTTTCAAATTATGTCTTCTCAGTGACTCCAATGCAAAAGTATGTAGATGCTAATTAACACAGGAAAATGTACAGTTGTTTTATTTCCTAGTAGGAGAGCCTTTCTACTTTAATGGTTCTGTTACAGCTTCAGTTTCAGGACTGCTCAGCTCTCATATGAATAAAAGGCAATGAGTCACCACATCGGATCGACATTGAGCTCAATCATTGATTTGCAATGCAGTGTGATAATACATGTAGAGTATTGTATAGATGCAGTTTGTTTGGACACTGACAAGTGATTGGTTTGTTTCCGATGAGATTTATGGAGTAACACAATAATCTTTGTATTTAATGAGACTAAAATTGCTTTTTCAGTCTCTCTTTAAATTATGTCAATGTTCTACCCATAGCTGGGTATCAAACCTCAGCATCATTTGGACAATCTGTAATAATATGTCTATTCATTTTCTTGCAGATCATTTGATCACTGCCATTTATAAATCTAAGCAAAACTCAGATTCATAAAAAAATCAAAAACCTTAGCTGCTGCATTTTTTTCCACACAGTTTCAACCTGCAAAACAAACTTGAACATCATGAATATACTTGCTGCATGACCCTGTTTGCATTTTGCATTGTTACTTGGTGACAATCAATATTTATTGCAGTAACAGCAACGTGACTTCCCCTGTGGCTGGAGGATGCCCTGGCTGCTTGTGACATCACTTCCTCCTCTTTTCCACTTCCTCCTTATTCACCACAGTAATGTAGATTGTTCTGACTTATACAACTAGATGTAATTCTAGAATTCAAAAGACAAGACAAGAAGTAGCATAGGACAGGTAGAAGGAATGTTCTTTGCAGGACAAAAAATTCTATGAATATTATTTCTTACTCTAAATTCACTAGTTGCATAAGATTCAAATGTAAAGATATATTTAGAGAAACATTTTTTAACATATAATGAGGGTATGTGGAAAAATAAAAAGCCCAATAGTTGAAACAAAGTTAGTGAAAGCAAAGATTGCAAACCCTGAGATGGCTGTATGTGTGTGAAATGTAACACTAGTGTGTTGGGCAATCACAGTGATGAGCCGCAATCATTTCTAAATCTGATGTCCCAGATTTCACAGTGGTGCAATTCACTGTGTTCTCAGTGTCTCAGTGTCTCATATGCATCTGTCATATGCTTCAGTCACTGCAGTCATTTAAAGACATGCTGTCTTTACCCTTCATCCCCGGCCCCCCGCATGACGTCAAACTTAATGGTGCACAACTGGCTGAACAGTTCAACTCACTCAGTGAGAATTATCCAGATTTGGAAATCCTGTGTTTTTTCTTTTTGGGGTCATCAGTTGTTAAATTAAATCAAATTAATATTGACATTGAATACATTATTTCTATCTGATACTTCCAGTGGTTTTGGTATTGCCGGCTGTTTTGTGGATTATTCTGAGTACAAATACTTCAATCAAATTTGGCTCGAATGATCTCCCAATCTTCTGTGATAAGGGACAAACGGAAAAACAGAGTCATGTTCACAAACAGGCTGGCTCCGCCTGTACTTTGATACAACATCATACAATGCAATGGGCTGGATGTGAAACTAACAGTGTGGGGTGGAGGCTTTGTGCTCATTATTTATACCACCTGAAGGAACAGGGCTGGGCTCTGCAGCACACAGGACTCTACCTTGACTCAGTTACTCTTAAAACTTGTTCAGTAGTTGTGTGTAGTCCTGCAAAACTAAAAATGCATACCCTTATTAGTTGAACTGGGTTAGACACTGAGTATGCATACGATTTTGCTTGTCATTTCAAGTAATCCCATGGGAAACTGGATTTTTAATTTTTTTTTACAGAATATCCTCCCAAATAATGGAGTAGGTCCTGGATTTGATCAGCACCTGTGATACACTGGTGACCTGTTCATCTTGACCTGCTGCCTTTCAGTCAATACACATGGGATAAATAAGCCAGGTCAAGTAGGAGGTGCTGGAATCATCTGTCAGTTTCTAACGTTCAGAAGGAATATTAAATACACTTAATACACAAACATTTAAGAATAATACATTTTGGTTACCTGGAAAAAAAATACAAAAATGTGATAAGTTTGCAAACATAGGATACACAATGAGAGCTGTAAACCAGTAGTTCAAAGTCTTGTGTCTCTATGACGACAGATGTCAATGATCTCAGTGTTCATTTTACAGATGTCATCCAGTGAATAACCTATGTGTTGTCTAGTGTTGCTGTGGCGACCACAGACAACAATAATGCTCGGCCTCTTTGCTCTCTGTTGAAACAAACAGTCACACCCTGTGGTGTGGAATGTAATATTTGAATGTACTCTACCATCTCTGGCTGCAGTATGATGGATGGCTGTTTCAGCAGTAAATAACTTCTCTGTGTGTTTTCTTCCTCTACCTCCGTCTTTCTCGTGGTTTAAAGCTGCAGTCACACTTGCCCTTGCGGAGACGAGCTGCACTGAATGTTTGCCACAAATCTTGGCTCTTATGAATCTGAGATGTTCCTCTGAGTGAATCTTGAAATGATTATGATGGTTTCTTGTTCAGTGTTATTTTTTTGTCACTGCTCATGTGTAACATTTCTCTCTGTGGCTCTTGTTTCTCTCTGCAGTCGCTGCCTAACCAGGCCGCACCCAAACCAGCGGCTCAGGTCTCCACTGTGAAGCCGGCCCAGTACGAGGTATTAAATGTTCCTCTGTAATACCAATTAACCTCTCCTCACCCTCTCTCTCTCATTTGTTAACCGACATATTATCAGGACTATGTGTTACACAGAAAAGAAAACATTTCTCTTCCTTCCATTCAAGGACAGAGGTAACACCCAGTTTCTCAGTCAGTGGGAAGCAGTTCAAACTGTGAAATGCTCTGAAACAATGGATCAAAGTCATTCAGTTTGTTTATGACATGTCGTATCTGCAGGTTTATTCTAGGGATCTAATCGTGGTTCTAACATACCAGCATGATGTCTGTAGCTAGCCAACAGTTGGAAGCACACACCAAATACTTTTTGTTATATGGCTCAAACTCTATTTTAATTAAATGTCTCTCCAGTTCAGTTTATATGAGACAACACCAGGACAAACTGGTCTTCTCGTCTATTTCTCTACACGTTCCACTCCTGGATTAGTGAAAGAACAGAAAGTCTCTTCATGTGTTACTTTCTGTGTTCAAACAGTATCTTAAACCTGTTCTTAGCCCGAGGACACAGGACGTCTGTTATCTTCTTAAAAACCATGCAGACAATTTTTCTGACAGAACAAACCAACAGTGACAGACTGAAGTGTCTTCACTTGGCTCTTAACACCTGCGCTTAGACATTGATTACTCTGGTGTCTGGCCTGTAGAGAGGGGCTTTACTAAGATATGGGGCCACTTTATTGAAAATAGTATTTAATCACAGTGTGAAAGAAATTCTTTTTGAAGTTACAGAGCTGTTTATAGACTGTGCTTGTATTGCTCAGACAAGTAGACTCTTGACCCTTGTTAGTATTTGACCTTGGTGACCCCTCTCATGAGTGTTAGTGGGCTTAGCCATAGTGGGGTACAGCTACTCAAGTTACAAGCAGTATACATGCACACAATGTATAGTTTTAGTTTCTGCTATTGGACAAGCTGTGAGGACAATCTTTCCTACATTTCCCTTCATGCAGCACTAAGCATCATTTCATGTGACCCTCCCTGTCATCCACACACACCTATTTCCAACACAATCCCCAGTTTGTAACAAAGGATTAGACTTTTACATTTGCATACGAGCCCGAGTTGAGTTATCTCAATGAGGTCACTGCAATGTCCTCATGGTCATTTTCTCAGCTCACTCCTAATGATGAGTAAACTGCTTTACAGAAGGCATCATCAGGATCTGCCATGGCTACAAAGCCTGGGGGGGGTTCCTCAACAACAGGTGGAGCCACAGGACGTGGTGTCTCTGCAGCAGGAGGGATTTCATCTAAACCGGAGGTAGAGAGACTCTGGATGTGTAACAACAAGTGCAGGGGGCTTCTGGCTGTTTGGTGTGATGTAACCTGGATCACCGCTTCTTTCTCCTGGTCACAACTCTCTGAGCGTTTCATCATCATGAGGCAGCTCACATTTCTTCTCCACTGGCTTCATCTTTCTTTACATCTTGCAAAATATATCTCTACCTCCATTTTAACCTCTATATGCGTCGTCTCTCTGGCTCGGGCCTTCCACACATCTGGATCCGAACGCTCGCTGAGTTCTCATATTGTCAGGCTTGGGACGTTTGCTCTCCACAGACTGTGACAATGACCATCAATAACCCTCTCATGGCTTCTCTTTAAACACATGCTCCTTGGTTTGTAGACTAACACTGCGCCGACTGGTGCTACTGTTATTGACATGTCGTCCGTTGGGGCTGCTGTTGTTGACATGACGTCAGTAGGTGCGAGTGGTGGTCCTCAAGCGATGCCAAAGGTAATGATGTCATTGTGTCCAAAGCGCTGGTCGGTGCTTTTTCATGGTTTTACCCTGATTATCATTTTAACTATAAAACTGTGGTTTTTACATTACTGCTGATTTGCTGGTACTTTCTATGGATAGGTATTCCATCATACTGGATGTAAATATCAGCTTTAGTGTCTGTAGTGGCTGCAGTTCAAATGCTTCTCATGTGATTGTGGGAAACCTCAACATACATGAGTGTCAGCTGCTCAACAGCACCCTTTTAAACCAGAAAACTAAATTCACATGACCCGCATGATTTTCACCAAACCAGAGTTTGGTTATTGTATTGCTTATAGTCTTGTGGGTTAGATTTCTTGGTAGCAAACTGTAATTTGTGAAAAGAGGTCCAAAATTCATGCCAGGGCTTCCTTTTGAATATTCACTTAATGTAAATCACTGTCATAAATGCAAATAAAAAGAAAACAGAACGTTTAGAACAAGTTCAGCAGTAGTGTAAAGCGTAAAGTTTGTTCTAAATGGGCTAACCTTGAAACATAAACTGAACAGATTGTGGTCAGATTAGTCTCAGTCCTGAATCCCATTAGACCTGACTGGATAATAAACTCAGCATATTTGTAATTATTTTAATATTTATGGGGCCACAGGGACAGATCTGATCAGTTATCACTGTATATTTTCTGTTCTGTTCACACATCCTTGTGTATGCGTAATCATTTGGCCACATGTTTGTAGACTGCACCTGTCTCCCAAGTCAAAGCTTCAGTTCCTTCTCCTGCCGTTGGAACAGCTGCAGCCGCAGGAGTGGCCGCTGCTGTGACCAAATCTAAAGATACAGCCAAGGTAGACTGGACTGCTGCAGGGATCTCTGACCCTTCATGACTCTCTCGGGGTGTTACCTTCCAGGCTTTCTTCAGTCGTTGCAGAGTTTTGTCATAGCAGTTTCTTTGAGAATCACTTCCTCAGTCTTCCCTTTCTTCTTCTTTGGAGATGACAATTCAGTATGAAAGGACAGATCTTAGCTCAGCATGTCTTTGCTTGTTGTTGTGTTTGCTCATAGTGCGTCTCCCCACTTGCAACATCACACATAGATCAGAAATCTGAGTCAGCCAGAGGAAACAAGTGGACAGGTCTACACTGTATCATAAGTCATCGAGCTGCTGAAGGCTTTTCTTCTGCTGAAATCTGCTCCTCACTGTCTTGTCTTTCATCCGTATATTTGGATATATTTATGACTTTCTATGCATAAAGTGGACCTGTAATATTAGTTGGTATGTACTTGGCTGATAATATATTTGAATTAATTGTATTTTAGAGTACCACTGCAACCACAACAGTCAAAGCTGATGTGTCTTAAGCTGCAGCAGCCTTAGTTTTGCAGGGTAAGAAAGAACAAGCTAAACCTACACAAACAAAGAAAGCAAACAAGGTGGAGGCCGTCTGATAGCTTTGTCCATATCCATCGATATGGTTTGTATAATAGTCATGATGCTGGCTGTCCCTTCTCTGTGGGGCCTGTAGGGAGTTTTCCTTTTCACTTTTTCACACACTTTGGGGAAATGTCTTGGGTTTTAAGAAACGATCAAATCTCTTGTGTTATATTCTTCCTGGGGTGACATTATTATGAGGAAAATTGAGTTTTGCACAATTTTTATGTCTCTTTTTAATCAGGACCTTTTTATTTCCACCATGCAAACACATTTGTTGTTGCAAGTTAAATTTCAGCTGAGTCTGGATCTGTTTTACAGGTACAAGTGGAAGTTCCTTCCACAGCAGCTAAAGGAGCCAAAGCGGTAAACATTTTGGTTTGTGTTGGGTTTCCTTTGAAATGCATGTTGCTTGCTTCCAATGTGCTGACTTGTATTGCATGCTCAGGCACCTGCAGTGGATCCATTCGATGCCCTGGCCAGCATACTACCATCCGCTGATTCTATCGTGACCCCACCACCAGTGTACACAGGGCCAGAGGTCAAAGAGGTACAGCAGAGCTAGAGTGTGAATGCATGTGTGTATATTTATAAACAGATCGGGTGTGTGATTGTAGGAAGCTGAAGCATGGATCTGGTGTGAGTAACTGTGTGTTGCATGTGTCACAGCATGGCGTCACCTCTGTGAAGGGTCACAAGTGTGGAGAAAGAGACAGCACGCTGCCTCCAGGCTACAGATTTGAAGATATGGTCAGTTCTTCCCCTGTGTACCTGTCTTCATCACTTCCTCTGATTGACCAAATACATTCATTTTGACATGCAACCAGTGGAGGGAATTTTTCGTCCCATTGTCCCCAGACCTCACTGTCAACTGGTTGTCATGGATATTAAAACTGCTCACACTGAGGGCTGTGGATTATCCAGAGCAATAGGGACATTCTAAAACAATATCATTGTCATATTTCATTGGTGTGAGCGCTGGAAATGAAACATCAGTAGTCGACTCTATTGACATGGAGATGAACAGGGCTGAGTATCAAACCTAAATATTTTCTTTGGTACCAACTGATCAAAAACGAGACAGGAAGGAAATCTTGAATAGTTCTGTCAGATTCATCAGAATAGTTCCAGATTCAAACATACATTTAACTTTGGCTGCTAGAGGTCTGGGTAACAAAAAACTTGATGTAATAAAGCAGCGTGGTATTATGGGAGTTATGGTCTTTGAAGTAAATTTACCTTGAATTAAATTAGGGATTTCTCTTGGTTTGAACATTGTTGGAAACATTTTGGATAATTTTAATTACACAAGTCAACAATATATATTAAGCCCATTGGCCAAAAACCCCACTAACATCTGAATTTTGTCTACAATGGCAGTGGATATAATCAGCATTCACTCCCAGGTCAAGTGCAATAGAAACAGGTTTTAATCGGCTCTGGCTTGGCAGTGATGGAAATATGTGAATGCGCAAATTTGGCAAGACAGCGAGGTTGGAGAGCATCTTGATGTCGAACATATACCAGGGTAAATAAACAGAAAGGCAAAGTTCTCTACCAGCACTGGGAAAGTGGGAAATCCTGCGTATACCTGCTAATTTTGATGTAAAAGACATTTAACAGAGGTCTAGTTATTTTGAGATATTTTATGAAGAATTGTTATATATTGTAGCTTCAAATTAAAAGTTTTTATATTTTATAAGAGTTTATATTGTTTATTGAAAGTGTTGAGTATTTGCTTGTGTTCAGAAAACATTTTAAAAGTCTGATATATATAACTTCTCAATAAGAAATTGAAAATACAGAGTCAAATATCTCAAAAGCTGGACTAAAGCTGCCTTCATGGCCAGATTCCAGTAGAGGAAATGAGAGAATGTTTTGAACTGAGCCTTTAAGGCAGCTTCTTTTTTGTTCTTCTTCCAGTCTAAAATAAATCTGTGTGTATTTTCTAGGCTCCAGGTCCTGCTGATGTGAAACCCAAGGACGTTCCTGTAAGTGAAGCCTTCACAACTCACATGTAGAGATAAGACAATAAGTTCAGACACTGTGGAACTCTTTCCAGAGTGTTTCAGCCAATGAGAACACACTGACATCACACACACAGATACAGGAAGCTCTGTTTCCACTGATCTGCTGGTTCCTCTAGAGTAGGGAATGTTGCATTGCATCGGTGGGTGTTGTCTGAATAAACAGACTCACAAGACCCACCTTTTCTGCTCAAACTTGTTGGCTCTTGTCCTACCAAACCCCAAGACTTGTGTAAATACGTGCGCGCACACAAACACACACACACCAGAATAAGCAGATACTGTAACACACTTTGATGTCCACCCATATGTAGGTTATTATTTACTCACCCTCAACACACCCACATTGGCCTCAGAGCCAACTCCCACTTTGTCGTCTTTTCTAACGCAAGTCTTGTCTCATGATCTGTTTTCATCTTCTCCACTGTGAGTTTTGAGAGTTTAGTTGTTGTGTATATCATATTTTTGCCAAATCTGCATAATATTATGTGTTAAATCTTTCTATTTTGGTAGTTTATTTTGTCTTCATGGAATTTTAAAGGTGTGTCTGTACTTTTCCTTCACTATCAGTGCATGTAGTCTGGTTTGTGTCTTTTGTGTAGTCGTTCATGCCCTCTAGTGGAGGATCATGTGATTGATGTGGAGCATTGAAATCAGTTTATATGAATTATTTTGTAAACAAAAAATCTGAAAAGAATGAGTTTTGTGTTGTAATCTGCTGCTGAAGCACGCCCTGTGTTTTTTCTCTCTCAGAAACCAATGAACACAGATGAGGCCCTGGATCTCCTCTCCACTGGATTCACAACTTCTCCGGTTGTACCTGCACCCAAGAAGCAAGAGGTCAGAGTCGTAAAGACAAATATGACATGCATGCAGCACCCAGTAGCAACTGGGTGTCCATGTTCTAACTTTGCACCTCATTTACTCCCTTGGAAAAAATACATATTTATAATTCTCAGTTTGTTGTACCTGGTATAAGCCCAACAATTTGTTCTTATATAAATTTAAAGGCATACGTAAAAGGCAAATCTTACAAATCCCCACTGTCTTTTTTTTCCTACATGAAATACTTAGAGGACAGTCCCTGTTGACACGGTCTGTGCAGCATCTGCTGGGCAGGCAAACTTTGCACCACCTCCTGTAAAGGTAAAGTAAAACTTACTTGCCTCTGTAATGGTGTTAAAGTGGCATCTGATTGAAGAAGCAGAGACTTGAATTGCCCTAATGTCCCCCCTGTTGCAGAAAGGTGAATGTCCTGCAGTGGTTCCTGCTGGGTCTGCTCCTCCTGCTGATAAGAAAGCCAAGATGGAGAAAGTCTCAGACGATTTCTCTCTGGAGTCTATACTTTCCTCTGCTCCTGCCACGGTACGTTTCGTGCAAGGGTGTCAGATCTCTGTCTTATAATTTAAAAAACAAACTTTGTGTGCTTGATATCCTGTTTTAATGAGTTGGTTTAAGATGTGTGAAAGTGAAGTGAAAAGGACCCTGATTTGACCTGGTATTAACAGGCGTCCTGAGATCTGATCACTCACACCACATTATGTAGGGATGCATGTGTCCACATTCTTCACAGGAGAGACATTCAGGACGCAGTTTAACGTTAGGTGTGAACAAACTTAGTACTGTCTACTTGTGATCAGAACTCTCAGGACGGACGTTAACACCTGGTCTGAACAGGGCCATATAAAGTCACTTAAAGTTGAACTTGCAGTTAAAAGATTAACATCATCAATATGTATGCGTGGATCTGTAGTGTATAAATGTTTAGTGTTTTTTCTGTTGCCTGTTGTAGAAAGCAGCTGCACCTGTGGCTGTGTGCACTGCTCCCCCTGCTGATAAAAAAGCCAAGATGGACAAACCTGTGGTCACCAAGACCAAGACTGATGAGGTGAGATTTGCAGGATATGAAGAGGATATTTTATACTAATATCCACCACTTCCAGCCCTCTCCTGTCTTATTTTTGTATGATGGAGAAGTAGATCATTCATTTCCTCTCCCGTCCTCTGCAGGGTGCGTCAATGTCTCTGGACGCTCTCAGTGCTCTTGGTGACTCATTGCCAGCAGCAGATCTGAAACCTAAATCCCCCGAACTCAAGCCTGAGGACATTGTCTCGGTAGGAGCACCAACAGCGTCTTGGCCTCACAGCATTTCATGGCCTCTCCTGAGAGCAGTGAAAGACACGTCTCATTGTCCTACTGACACCAACATTTCCTACCAGACAATATCTCATCTCTCCCTTCTTTTCCTTTTCATAGGAGGACAAACTGAAGAAGGAGAAGGGTGTGCGTGTCGGAGAAAGGGAGGATACACTTCCTCCAGAATACAGGTTTAATAAGGAGGAGCTGAAAAAACTGCCTGCTCCTCCACCTAAGGTGAGTCTCAGGGGGGATCTAATAGTAATAATGTGATATAGACACTATGATAACTTAATCTTATTGATGTATAATTACTCTTTCCTCCACTTTCCTCTGCCCCTCCCCCTGCAGCCCACCATGGGCACAGGTGAGGCTCTGGACATTTTGTCTGGAGACTTCATGATGTCCTCAGCAGCTCCATCAGTCCATGCTCCTGTCGTCCCCTCAGCTCAGGCACAGGTACACTATGACAACTGGTAACAGTAATAGTACAAAGTACAAAATCATACAAGCAAAGACCCTGAAATCCGTACCTTGTCGAATGACATCTATGTTGATTGTTGTAGAAAGCTCCTGTCGTTCCTCCTGTGGCTGGCCGTACTGCTGATAAGAAAGACAAGGTGGACGCTGTCTCTCAGGACGCGGTACTATCGGCTTCGACTGCTAAGGTAAAGCACAGCACACTCACACAACTCTGATACTGCAGGTGACTCTTGACTTGTCAAACGTCCACTGATGTTGATAATAGTCATCCTGGTGTTAATGCATACAGCTAAACTATAGATGAAAATAATAATTCAGTTTTCCAGGGCTGTGAATGAACATAGATATTCTGCAGATAGAACAACAAATATAAACAGCATCGGAATCTTAGCAGTGACATTCAAGGTATTTTTGCCTTAAATGACATCATACAGACTGATAGAGTCAGGGTAACTCACTCTACCACACTATACAGTGACTGCAGAATACAGACGTGTTGGTAGATTTCATTTTAATATTCTGATATTCATCTTTCCATTCACTCTGTCAGATTTCTTGTTCATTTGCTTTGCTGATGTTTGCTAGGTGTTATTTTTACATCATGATCCCTATTCACTCCTCCATGGCACCTTATCACCCCGGCAGTAGAACAGTGCATGTAAACATTGCAGAGATAACTTTCAAGCTGCTTCACTTGTCTTGAAGCTACAGATAGCTTTGTCAACGTACAATAATACTATAACTAATACTGCTATAATAGCCTTGTGCTCCACCACTACATTATCCATTTTGTTACAACTCATACGGTCTATGAATATAACCAATATTTGATTCCACAATTGAAAACGAGTACTTACTACACTACTTCAGAGCAGATTTTTTTTTAACCCTTAACTTGATGATAATTATCTCTATGCTTTTTAATCTAATCTGTGTTTTGTGTTGCAGAAAGTCGAATCTTCTGCACTTCCCCCTGCTAAGAAAGAAAAAGTAGAGAAAGCCCCTGCTAAAATGGACACCATTGATGGCAAGCTCCAGGCTAATCCGGTGAGACACAGATTCACACATTACTTTTCTTCCTTTTTTCCCTCGACGTTTTTATTTTCCTCTGCCCTGTTTCGCCTTGTTGCTTTGTCAACTTTCGCATTGGGAGAGACATTTTATTTCCATGGTTACGAATCAGATCTCCTGTTCTCTCCTCAGGGTGACTCCATGTCTCTGGACGCTCTCGGTGCTCTTTGTGACACGTTGCCAGCAGACGCACCAAAACCTGCAGCCCCCACACTCAGACCTGAGGACGTTGTCTCGGTAGGGGACAGATAGCTTCCCTTTTTTAGCATACCAGTTCCATTTGTGTTTCATAGAACTGTTTTCTCACTGTGTCATCATCTCCCGCCCCTTTTCGTAGGAGGACAAACTGAAGAAGGAGAAGGGTGTGCGTGTAGGAGAGAGGGAGGACACACTTCCTCCAGAATACAGGTTTAATAAGGAGGAGCTGGCAAAACTGCCTGCTCCTAAACCTGAGGTGAGACTGGCACAAGTTCTTAGATCTGTAAATAATAGTTTAGGGTTAAGAGCTCTTATTTATCACTGATGGATCCTTCATTGTTTCTCCTCCTGCAGCCCACCATGGCCACAGGTGAGGCTCTGGACATTTTGTCTGGAGACTTCATGATGTCCTCAGCAGCTCCTGCTGTCCACGCTCCTATGGCCCCCCCCTCAGTGCCACCTGCACAGGTATACTGTGAATCTGTTGTCAAGATGAATTTTTTATTTTATTTCCTTCCCTCTGTGTTAAAAATAAAAACTTTTGTCTCTGTTCTTCAGACCAAAGTTGAGGATTTGTCAGCTCTGGATATTCTCGCTGGAGACTTTGTGGCTCCAGCTAAAGCGTCTGGACTTAAAGCGCCCGTCCCACCTTCTTCCAGGAAGGCACCAGAGGTAAAGCTGTTGCAGGGGTGGCTGGTCAATAGAGGCTGATAGGGCACCACCCTCCCAAAGAAAATAAGGAAAAAAGATGATAGTGATAAATTTAGTTAATTATTATCATAATAGTCATTATTAGTTTTAAAATGTATTAAATTATATTAATTCTCAAGATAGTTTGTCCTGCCTGCTGCCTCTGAACATCACAGTCCAATCATCTGCACCATCACGCCCTGTTCTACAGAGTATGGGGCCATTTCAGTCTGGTTGAAAATCGCCCACCTCGCTCTCTTAGACTTTCATTGTAACACGTTTTTTTGTGCTCAATACAACATGAGATGTGACCTGAACAGCAGGACTCAGTGTTAAAGTGATCGGAGCGAACACAGATACATTTATTTACCCATTAAACAGGTAACCTTAGCCACCATCTCAACAATTGCCCACCCTGAGAAATTTGGCAGGAGCCGCCACTGCATAGTGAATGCATGTGTGTGAGTTTCCATATCTGTGATCCTCTGTCCTTCTACAGCAGAAGCACTAATATTTTTTCTTAGGGGCCACATGAGAAACTCAGATTGTTGCCAGGGGCCAAACTAATTTTGGCACACTGCACCTCTAATTAGTGCTCATTAGTAGAAGGCCCGGTCCAGCCTGTGTGCCATGCAAGCCCAGGTCTGCCCTATAGTATATGTTTCCTTACAAAGTTAAAATAAATGGAAGGAATTAAATTTCTACTCTCATCAGTTTATGTCTGTACTTGCAGTCTTTAATGTTCCTTGTCATTGTCTATGTGTCACACTGTATTTCCCTGTGTGTCTGCAGGTTACAGTTTGTCCGATAGAGGAATCCGCCCCCATCCAACGGAAAGAGAGAGAACCCAAGACTAAGACAGTAACCATGAGGATTCAAATCAATTTCTGTCTGAAATGCTTTAATTTTACTGTAGATCTTTGTTCTTTTACAATCACACTTCAAACTGATTATTAAATAAAAGGTAAAATTCAGATGTCTTACTATGGCCCCTCTTGCCTTGCTTTTAATGATTAACTTAAGAATATGACAAATATCACAATCTCCTGTTCTCTCCTCAGGGCGACCCCAAGTCTCTGGACGCTCTTAGTGCTCTTAGCAACACGTTGCCAGCAGACGCACCAAAACCTGAAGCCCCAGAACCCAGACCTGAGGACATCGTCTCTGTATGTAATGCATAATCTCTCATCAACATACACAAACACAATCCAATTATCTACAGAGCCAATCTGGCTCATTGTCCTTTTTTCTTTATTTCTGTGTAAGAAAATGTGAAAATAATGATCTCATTATGTCTTCTTTTAACTTTTCATCTCCTTTTCATAGGAGGGCAAACTGAAGAAGGAGAAGGGTGTGCGTGTAGGAGAGAGGGAGGACACACTTCCTCCAGAATACAGGTTTAATAAGGAGGAGCTGGAAAAACTGCCTGCTCCTAAACCTGAGGTAAGACCTGGACAAGTTCTTAGATCTTTAAATCCTACTTGAGCTCTGAGACATGACGAACCTTCACTGTTTCTCCTCCTGCAGCCCACCATGGCCACAGGTGAGGCTCTGGACATTTTGTCTGGAGACTTCATGATGTCCTCAGCAGCTCCGTCGGTCCAGGCTCCGGTCGCACCCCCCTCAGCTCCTCCTGCACAGGTACACTGTGGATCTGTTGTTTGCACCTGCAGCCAAAAAGCAGGGTGATGTACAGATAAATCATTTTGTTTGTACAGAAACAGCAGTGATGGTAGAATGACAAATTTCTTTGACCAAACTTTTTTTATTTTAAGTACTAAGACAACAGGTTTTGGTTGTACAGGGGGGTTTGTCGTATGGTCTCAACTCTGTGTGCTAGGCTAGGATTATATATATATACACACACACACACACCAGCAATGGCAAATAAGACAAGGCAATTTGAACTTTTAATATTGGAGCTTGGTGATGGTAGTGGTCAAGCGTCAGGTCAATTTTTTAAGTTCTCATTCAGCAATGATATTTTTATCCTCACCGATACAATTATAAATGAATGAATTATTCCAGCACCACGCAAATGCACATTTCATAATTGTTGTTCTTTCCCTCCTTCAGCCCTCTGCAGATTCTGCTCTTGATGCCTTGGCAGGAGACTTTGTTGCCGCCACTGCTGCTCCAGTAGTGAAGTCTGCTGCTTGTGCTCCCACAGAAGCTCATCCACAGGTAAACATACAAATACACTCCTTTTAACTAGTTAATCATTCCAAAACCATGCAGTCACACAACAATCTTTTTGTTTGTGTGTGTTTGTGCATTCAGCTGGCAACAGGAGCAGACAGTGCCCTGGACGCTCTATCCAACACCTTGAAGGATATCAAACCCGTCCCTCAGCCCGTCCCAGTTCCTACCAAAGACATTGTGAAGGTAGCTAGCATGCTTCAAGAGCACAGCCAGAGGGAGAGGGAATATTTTTTTTAAAACAGTCACTTCAGCTCATCTCTTTGGTTGTTGCAGGAGAAAAAGGTTGTGGAGGAGAGGTTGATTAAGATGGGAGAGAGAGATGACTCTCTGCCGCCAGAATATCGACTCACTGAGGAAGATCTAAAGGTAAACTGACGTCTACTTTATACACTATGATACATTATGTTACTTTTAGTATTAAAGGTATGTACTGACCCATATGACTTTCTGTTGTTATTTAATTCCAAACAGTAGACTATATTAACTCAGTTCATTAGTGTCTTGTCAAATAACATTCCAATAAAAGATAAATATAATAAATATAGTGGTGGCTGTGAGTACTGTAATGACCACTGTATATTTCTTTCTACTGCAACAACAGTAACAAAAAAATTAATGCATCGGAATATTTACTTAAATGTTTAATGGGACATTTTCATCATGCAAGACAGCGATACAAAACAAATATGGCTACTTAAGCATTACCTGTTATGTTACTTATGTTACTTGTTGTGGTCTAGCTTGTCTTTTACTTCAACAAAAAAGTATTATATTTTATGCCATCTTCTTTTTATTACACAAAAATATAATACATGGCCGTATACCCCTGATTTGTAATTGTTTCCTTAGTATGTGTCTAATTTACATCTCTTTCATTCTAAAGAATATGGCAGAAGCAAAGGCAAAAGCAGCTGCAGCACCCAAGGAGGTAAGTGTGTCCCAGAGTAGATTTATGATGGAAAAACCATATATAGAATATGCAGATAGTGTGTAATCTCCTGTCCTCTTCTGCCCTGTAGAAGGGCCTGGATGAGGCTACAGCCTTGGCCATGCTGTCCAGTGAATTCTCTGCTGCTCCTAAACCTGCTGCTCAGGCCAAATCATCTGCAGCCACGACAAAGGTGGAACCTCCTGCACAGGACTCAGAGCCACAGAAGGTAGCACAGACTCTGAACTGCAAAACCACCTCCAGTTAAGTGAGGGTGGTTTTGCTTTATATAACACATACCTCTGTATATTTTGACGTGGACGGAGTCTATTTAGGTGAGTCGGTTCCAATCATGTTTGATACATTTGTTTATCACCTTTTTCTTTCTTTCTTAGCCAATGACTGGTCCTGTTCTGGACTCCCTGGCCAACACCTTGCTCCCAGACGAGTTAAAATCCAAAACAGACCAACCAAAACCAAAGGTACAGAAAACAGATATTGCCATCTCTGTATCTACATTTGAGAGATTTTCAAGTTGTAAAAAAACGTTTGGGTAGCTATCTTGTTTTTGCAAGTTGGAACAAGAGGGAAATCTTTCACGTTCATGTCATCTTTGTAATAAACACAGTCCCAGATTCATATCTTTGTATAACCTGACATCTACTGATTAAAAGGCTCTTCATCACATATGGCAACTCGTAAGTGCAAACATGTAACTGATGTGAAGACATTTTCTCAGTTACATGGCGCCCTCTACAGGTTGTGTACTAGCATTTCCTGAGTCAGTGGTCACCACCTCCCAGAGTGACGTTGGGCTGTTGAGCCTAACCAAGGTGTTGACTTTGTTACAGGGCAAGAGCAAGTCAAAGTCAAAGTCCAAAGTAAGCAAAGTGCCTGCTGCATGGAGACCAGAAATAAACTGGATAGATTAAGCTGATGCATCATTTTGGACAAATAAAATTTGTGCACTTTTAATCAAGCTGAAGTGCAAACTCAAATGGTCACAGCTGCACACAGCTGCATGTGATGCACTCTATGCTACTGCTTTGCCTGATCTTAATTCCTTTAATAATTACATTCAATCTGTGTAATTGCATGGTCTTATGTCTTTGTCTTTTATATTGTATTTTTATACTTGCACTCTCTTCTGTTACGTGTGAGTGCACCTGTGGATTGTCCCTAATTTGATGTTAATCTGTGCAATGAAAACCTACTTATCAAACTACCAACCTACAAACCAGACTCCCTACCTACAGACCAACCTACCTACTTACCTAACTACCTACCTACTTGCCTAACTACCAACCTACCTACCTACTTACCTAACTATCTACCTACTTGCCTAACTACCTACCTACTTGCCTAACTACCTACCTACCAACCCACTTACCTAACTACCTATGTACTTACCTAACTACCTACTTACCTACCTATCTACTGACCTACAAACCAACCTACCTACCTACCTATCTACTTACCTAACTACCTACCTGCCTACTTACCTAACTACCGACCTACCAACCCACCTACCTACCTACAAACCAACCAGCCTACACACCAGACTACCTACCTACAAACTTACATACCTACCTACAGACCTGCCAACATATGAACATACCTAAAAATCTACCTACCTGCCTGCCAGCCGCCCTTCCTATCAAATGATCTCTCTAATTATTGCATGCAAAGGTGCTGCTCCTTCCATTCCTTTATACTTAAAAACAATTTTTAACTTGTGTTTCAGAAACATCATGCAGAGCAGCCATCTGCCACTGACCTGTTATCAGCTCAGCTAAGCTCAGACGTTGTGTCTACAACTACAAAGAAGGGAGGCAAGAGCTAAACCACCTTGTGAGGTCAGTTCTCATCTTTTTTTTACAATTTTTTCTTTTAAAATATGGGACATGCCACATACTATGAGGATAAATGTCTCCACAGCGCTCCACTGTCAGCTGAATGTGTCACGTTTGTTACAGGTGGTTGGTGCCTTTTGTCTTCGATGGCTGCAGGGACGCATCAGTGTGGAATCTGCTCTGTGGATAATTGTTCTATTTTTCTAAATCGGCAAGAATGTATACTGGATGAAAGACAAACCCATAACACACACACACACACACACACACACACACACACACACACACACACACACTGACACACACACGCTGCGTGTAGTGCCTTTCTTGTTCGGTTTCACATGTGTTCTTGGATGAGGAGCTTTTGGTTTCTGTCTCTGCAGAAAGTGACTTTTTGAAACATGAATGGATATAAAGAATGAGTGATGAACAGAAACAGAAAGAGACAGAGGGGAAACTGGGGAAAGAGGAGTTTAAGGCACATTAAAATAAAGTTTATTTTGCTGGTTGCTGTGTTGAGTGTGCTGATGGAAGGAAAGTGTTGTATATGCATCTCAGCTGACAATTCCAATTTTCCAAAAATGCACAGATATATAAAAACACACTGGTAATCTAAACCGGGTGATATATTGTGACGCTGGTTGGAGGAGTGGTGACTGTCAGCTCGAGTGGGAGAAGTAAGGAGTGGGTTTATAGTATCGGGATGTTTGTGCAATCTTGTACACAGAAAAGTCAAGTTTTCTATCACCATGTGGTCAGATGCCAATAAGACACTAGTGTACAGCTTCGTCTGCTTATATTTTGGACGGCAAGTAGTTTACATGATTAAATATGTGGAGGATTCACAGGAGGTGTGTTGTTTAATTGTTTGATTTAGTATCTGAGAGCTTCTTCGCAAATGCCTTTTACATTCTGAAGAGAAATATCTGTCAAGAGAAAAAGGGTCTTTTTTTATGTGTTCCGCCTTGCGTAAAAAAAAAACATTACTGGTGTCCAGAAGAGCACTTAGTGAACTGAGGTGGTTACAAGTGTGAACTGCCATTTTGTAAACTGTAAAAAAAGATTTTTGTTCCGTATAAGAAAACACTGTATAATTTACAAAAGGCTTTCAACTGTAAAGTCGAATCATATATATCATCATATCATATATATCATTTCCCCCCCGGTTCTTTTTTTCTTCCTGCCACAGGTTTTGTTGTGTGGGTATGTGTCAAAAGGTATGAGAGATATTTTAGATGTGGGAATACTAATTAAATTAAATAAATCTAAAGTTTTAAATTTATAATGTGTAGTTAGTAAATGAGAGTTTGGTTTTTACAATTTGTACAAAAGTTAGCATGAAGTGCCGTAAAAAGTTAACAGCAGGAAAAATATATCAAATCAGTCAACAATTATATTATCTTACAGGTGCAAGGGACATATGTATGTATTCAACAGAATGGGAACAGAATCTCTTCTAAAGATATTTTTCTCTCTCCTCTCGAATTAGTGGTTTGTTAATTTCACTCTGCGTAGTTGTAGCCCACTTCCTTCTCACTCAGGGGGCTTAACGACTAAACAACATGTGTTTCGCTCAAACTTTATATTTTTGTGCCAAGACCCTGAATGACTGATGGTGGATGCAAATGAGTGGGTTTGTTGTGTAAAATAAAGAAAAATAAGAAACCTAAATAAAGTCAAATGCAAGTCATTGTAGTCGAGGAAGATTGTTTTGAGTGGTATTATGATAAATTTTTTAAAATGTCTTTATTTTTCTTTTTACAATATTTAAAATAAAATGAAAAAATCAACCAATTCTAAAATACTGTACATCCATTTTCAAGAAGACAACAATTCAATATTTGCTTCTCATTAATTTGAAACAAGAGAAATTATAGTCACACCAAAAAAAAGGGTAACTAAATAAAACGTGTTATCTAAAATTTCATTTCAGCTTAGCCTCCTGCCAGATATACGATTCTTCTTCACTATGATCATTTGATTTTGAAAAAAGAAATCTTTAGGGCTGAAGAGAAGTTAAATCAGAAAAATTACAGATGTAAAAACAAGTGAAGAAGTGTAGTTGAAATTAAAAAATCAATGCAGGGAAACAGAGAAAATCAGCTGTGAAAATGTGGCTTTCAAAACAAGAACTTAAATGTAAAACAATAAAAAATAAACGTAACTATCAATGGGATCTATACAAAAGTGAAATTAAATACATTAATTCATAAATTCTAATCTTGCTTTTGATTATTATCTGGATTGATAGTGATTGGATAAATAAACACTTCAAAACATGTTATTTGAGTAAAAGAGACCATTGAGATTGTGACAGAGCAGCTCAATCGACTGTCAAACCACAACGCAGATAATGTTGACAAAGAAAAGCTTTTAAAGTTTGATGAAAATTTTACTTGAAAGATTCTTGGTTTATATTTTCTGTCACATTCTGTCACTGAAAATGTTTTAAGTTGCCAGTAAATTACTCACAGTGTAAGTAAACTGTAAATTAGATTATTTTAGGAACAATAGCACGACAGTGTCAAAATAATTACAGTTTAAAGAAATAAAACAGCCGCATTTAGATTAAACATGTGTGTTGTTCTTCATCTGTTTTCCAGGAGCCATCGTACGCGGCCTATTCAAGATGAACAAAGTATTTAGAAATAATACTAAGTGAAAGGTTATTTCAGTGACTTGTGTCGCACAATGAAATTAAACAGGAAACAGGTCTACAAATACACTGAGGTCTGTTTTAAATGTGAAACCTTTTACCAAACATGAAAAACAAAAAGAATTCAGTTTCAGCAACAATAAATCCCTGAGAGTATTGAAGAGTCTTAAAACAGCATTGTGGAAATAAAACTAGAGGTTATTCAAATTTCTCTATAATTTCTTTATGAGATTCTTCCTTCCTTAATTAATGCTTAAAAATTGAAGTAGATATAAAAAAAATCTGGGGTAGGTTTGGAGGACTAATGACTTTTTAAAATCCTGGCTAGGGCTCTAAGTGGAAAGAAACCTTTGAATGCAAATATGAAAAAGAAAAACTTACTTTCTTCTGTGGTGGTGCGGGCATCTCCGTGTCCTTATGTCTACAAATCAAGAGTGGTATTAAAAACAATTCTAATCATTACACACGTAGTTTCAATCAAAAAGCAGAAAAAAATACTGCGCATTTTCAGGTGGATGATGTAGAATTAAAAATATCAAGTTTCTGGTTTCCAAAGCGTCGACGTTTATTAATCCACCACGTCACTGTGTGTTAAACCTCACTCAGCATGATAAGACGCAGGCAGGCACAGGTCCCAGATATTAGATGAACTTACGGTTACAGTACAGGAGGGTGATGAGGAGGAGGAGAAGGAGAAGGCCACAGCCGCCGGCCAGTGGTCCCAGAATGATTGTTGAACAAGGGATGAAAGAACTGGTTTCACCTACAAAACATGTGCTCATTCACCAGCTGCTTCAGACACATTCTTTCTACAGAGGACTGTTCAACCTCCACGGTAACAAGTAGTGTTTTACTGCTCAATACCTGTGTTAGTGTTGCCCTTACAAACACAGGCTGAAGTGGTCAGGGATGGACTTCTTGTGGAAGCGATGACCCGTGGTGCTCTGGTCGTGACCTCAACTTTTTTCTCTAAGACACAGTAAGAATGTGATGTAAGAAAGAAACCCACCATGTCATGGTCGGACCAGACTTACAGGGAACTAATCTCACCTCCTATCAGTCGTGTTACTTTGCCAAATTTCATCTCGTTGCTTTGAATGATCGTGCAGCTGTAGGTGCCGCTGTCCCGAGCTTTGCTGAAGGACTTCAGCGTCAGGATGTGTTTGTCCACCTTTGAGGTATCAATGTATGGGGAGAGGGGAGATTGGTTCGACTTCATCCTGCCATCTCTGCCAAAAGAAGCGATGAATTCCATCCCTGAATTGTCCAGAACTCGAAACCAGATGACCGTGTTGAACGTCTCAGCAGGCTTGCACTCGATATCGACCTTGGCCCCCTCTTTCACAACTAATTCACCAGCTCCTGAGGCCATTACTAAAAACATGAGAAAATGGAAGCATTAAATCAGATTACTTCTCTTACATATTACTTCTCTGTTTCAGTTTCCTCAATTCAAAGACAAGAAAAAGAGCATAGGGCACTTTAAAGCTCTGGATGAATTCACTTTATATCCAACTTACTTTGATAAAACACCAGAATCACCAGCATCTGAATCCACTTTTGGTCCATTTTCCACTCACAGACGACAATAGCTTGTGAACCAGGCTTTGTGGTGTTTGTTGGCGCCTGCCTAGAGATAATTCAGCGAGATATCAAACCACGCCCCACCTGTAACCCTCTTCTCCGCCGTGTCAAATGGGATCATTGCAGCGCAGCGTTTGCAGAGGCCTCCTGCAGCACGGTCGTGGTCTGTGACACGTTTTGAAGTGGAGCCCACCGATGTGCAACTCTTTCACTACTCTGGTGCACGAAGCATCGAACAGACTTCATCCACGGGCTACTGGCACAGAAATGACACAGTGTGTAGGCTGAGAGGGGGTGGGGGTGGGGTGGGGTGGGGGCGCTGCTGTGTGTGTACAACACTCAGCAGCTCACTTTATACTCACTTTACACACACTTTACTCAAATACAACAATGTTGTGGGTGTGAAAAATCTTCAATAGACTCGACTTTATGCGCGAATGGAAGCAAACACGTGTGAAGGCTCTTTAAGTAAGAGACTTTGACCTTTCTCCCTCCTCCTGTATGTGACATATGTTTTTCACAATACTTCGAACACATATTCTTTCATATTCCCAACATCAGTTTTTGAAAATTTGAGAATGACAGTATTTTGAGAATGGGTTCAGACTGATGATGTGGTAATAACATCACTCTGACTGGATGTATTTATTCCAGTGTAACACTGCTTAATGTGAAAAAATATGTCGCTGCAAGAAAATTTAAACTACCAGATGGCAGCAAACGAGAATCTACAGCTCATGAGATTCAAATATTATCGTCCATTTTCTATTTGCACTGTAGGATCTGTTTGACTCATATTTGCACGTTTCATTTTTAAGCTGCTGTCTATTTATTCTTCTTCATTCATATGTTCTACTCAGTTGGCCTGTTTACATTTCCTTCCTGCACATCTTAGCTGGCTGTTTATTTATTGGGGTTTGTGTGTGTGTGTGTGTGTGTGTGTGTGTGTGTGTGTGTGTGTGTGTGTGTGTGTGTGTGTGTGTGTGTGTTGTGGTAGTTGGAGTGGTTGTTGTGGTCGTTGGAGTTGTGGTCGTAGTAGTTGGAGTAGTTGT